AGATTGGACAGTCCATTCCCAGGTCTCCCGGCTCTGGTTCCTCCTCGGAATGCGCATAGGTGGGATTGAGGAGCTCCTCAAAGTATTCCTTCCACCGTCCGACTATAGCCCCAGTTGACGTCAGCAGCTCCCCATCCCCACTGTAAACAGTGTGAGCGAGTTGCTGCCTTCCTTTCCTGAGGCGCCGGCCAGTTTGCCAGAACCTCTTTGGAGCCGATCGATAGTCTTTCTCCATGGCCTCACCAAACTCCTCCCCCGCCCGAGATTTTGCCTCGGCAAATGCCACTGCTGCACCCCGCTTGGCTATCTGGTACCTGTCTGCTGCCTCTGGAGACCCACAGACCAGCCACGCCCTGTAGGCCTCCTTCTTCAGCCTGACGGCTCCCCGAACCTCTGGTGTCCACCAGCGGGTACGGGGGTTGCAACCACGACTGGTACTGGCCACCTTGCGACCACAGCTAGCAACAGCCGCCTCAACAATCGCAGAGTGGAACAAGGCCCACTTGGAGTCAATGTCCCCCACTGCTCTCGGGACGTGGTCGAAGCTCTGCTGGAGGTGGGAGTTGAAGACCGTCTTAACAGGTTCTTCTGCCAGGCATTCCCAGCAGACGCTCACTATGCGTCTGGGTTTGCCAGGTCTATGCGGCATCTTCCCCTGCCATCTGATCCAGCCCACCACCTGGTGGTGATTAGTTGACAGCTCCGCTCCTCTCTTCATTCGGGTGTCCAAAACATACGGCCGCAGGTCAGATGATATGATTGCAAAGTCTATCGACCTGCGACCTAGGCTGCCCTGGAACCAAGTGTACTGATGGGCATCTTTATGTGCGAACATGGTGTTTGTTATGGCCTAACTGCGGCTTGCACAGAAGTCCAATAACGAAACACCACTGGAGTTCAGATCAGGCGGGCCGTTCCTCCCAATCACACCCCTCCAGGTCAAGCTGTCATTGCCCACGTGAGCATTGAAGTCCCCCAGCAGGACAATGGAGTCCCCTGATGGAGTACTATTTAGCACTCGTCCCAGGGACTCCAAAAAGGGTGGGTACTCTGAACTGATATTTGGCCCATAAGCACAAACAACAGTCAGGACCCGTTCCCCGACCCGAAGGCACAGGGAAGCTACCCTCTCATTCCCTGGGGTAAACCCCAACACACAGGCAGAGAGTCTTGGGGCTAACACAAAGCCAACCCCAGCCCTCCGCCTCTCACCCGGAGAACTCCAGCAAAGGAGAGTGTCAAACCCCTCTCAAGGACTTGGGTTCCAGAGCCAATGCTATGTGTCGAGGTGAGTCCGACTATATCTAGCCGGTACCGCTCAACCTCTGCCACAAGCTCCTGCTCCGTCCCCGTCAGCGAGGTGACATTCCATGTCCCAAAAACCAGTTTCCTTGTCCGGGGATCGGACCGCCAAGGCTCCCGCCTTGGTCTGCCACCCGATCAACATTGCACCGGACCCTTCATGTTCTTCCTGCGGGTGGTGGGTCCACAGTTGGATGAGCCCATGTATCCGGTTCGGGCTGGGCCCGGCCAGGCCCCATGGGCGAAAGCCCGGCCACCAGGCGCTCGCTCACGGGCCCCAGCCCCAGGCCTGGCTCCAGGGTGGGACCCCGGTAACCCTCTGGGCTGGGTTCTCCGACTCTTTGATTTTACCTCCATGAAAGATCTTGTGAACCGTTCTTTGTCTCACCCTTCACCTAAGACCAATTTGTCATGGGAGACTCTACCAGGGGCACAAAGTGCCCCAGACAGCATGGTTCCTAGGATCATTAGGGCACTCAAACTCCTCCACCACGATAAGGTGATGGTTCAAGGAGGAGGATTTCACACATGATGTCTGTGAATTTGAAAGACACATTTTGATACCAAGAACATGCTTATTTTTTAACAGGGGGAAATGCTATTTTAGGTTTTCTTGTGAAAATAAGTCCAGGACTACAAATGTGCTTCACGAAAGTGATGTCATCGAACCAGACATGGAGAAAACTGAGGGAAAAGGGCTGTAAGTTCAGCAAACATCCCAAAGGAGGAACGAACCACCATAAATCTGGTCATTTGGTAAGTAGCAGCTACGTTAGGGGAGAGGAGATTATGTGGTGACGTCACATATGCGACGTGCCGATTTCTAGTTTGTAGTCATGCAAATTACGAACTTTTACAAGCCTATAAATCTCAAAGTACGTGACTGGCGTGGTCGAAACACCATCATTACTTTTCATTTAAATTGCAGTACAACATATGTGTGATACAGGGCGTAAGGCAAAGCAGATTAGAAAATAGTGTTTTTAGCCCCAGGGACCCGTGGTCATTTTGCCTTGGCCCCCAAAATGCCCTTGCTGCCCTGGGCCCTTTAGAGTTCGTGGGCCCTGGGCAATTGCCCAGTTGCCCATATGGTTAATCTGGCCTTGCATTTAGTGTATTTAAGATCTGAAATAAGTCATAAAATAATACACATTTATGAGAATTCATTATTAAGTCACTTAAGATATAACATTGTAGAAGGGTAGGGCAAGGAGAGGCCGGTGGTAGATCCTTCAACACACATTCTGAAGGAGAAACAGAGGCTTCCAAGCTCCAACAGATCAAAGGAATGTAAACTATAAAAGTTGTGTCACCTAGAGCATATGCGTGGACATTCACGAACAAGGAATGAGTTCTGGAGGACGACATTCCCCACCCGAGGCTAGGCAGAGGCGGTCCAAAAGAGGACGAGACATGAGAGTGAAGTCTGAACCGGTGTTGTGATTATTGGGCATCTTCTTTCTAAATCCTGAAAACCAGTCAATGGCTTAACTCTTCACAAACTCAATCAAAAACACGTCAACTTTCTTCACAAAAATCAAGAAACAAATCAATCGATCAAAGGCAGATAAAATATCTAATAATCTGTTTATGCTCTGGCCACAACATGAACAAACCTAGATTTCAACAAATAAAAGAAACGGAGCTTACTTCAGTTGTCCGATGGCGTTTTTGGTACGAAGATAGGAAAGCCGTTGTTCTATTTTGAAGCAGATCGCGCGGTTTGATCGCTTCTTCTGAACTATAAGAGAAACAGAAGAAGAAGTTAGAGAAGGGAGAGGAAAAAAAACTTGTTTATCAAACCCGAACAGCGAGGCGTCCCTCAGTGTTCAATCGGCGTTCTCCGTTGATTTGATGGTTTTCCGCAGCTTTTTCGCGGCTCTGCGTTCTCACACATCCGGAGTCGTAGCAGCGAGCGATCTCTCAAACATCAGCTGAAGCTGAGCACAAAGAGAAATAGGTTTCGTTTTTGTCTCTCCTTTATAGACTCCACTGTCCGGCGGGAGGAACTCTGTGAGTTCCAGCTCATGCGCAGAATTTGTTTTCCGGGGGTTCGGCTTCTCTTTGGTGACGTCATCACGTTGCTTCCGGGTGCAAAGAACCATGGGACATGAAGTTTTAGCTGGCACTGATGTTTAATATGCCTTATTTCTTTACGCTTCAGGGCGTTTTTGGCACAGGCTTTTGGAGAAAATACTGAGTAGCAATTTCTCATGAGGGCAGACCCTCAACACCGGTGTCCAGAACAGCATCACAGGGGAGCACCTGCTCGAGGCGCACAGGCACCCAAGCCTTTCCAGCTCCCCCTTGTAACTTGAGTTGACCAACAAGCACCTTGGCAGACAGTTCAGCTGGGGTCTCCAGACCATCCTCGTTATCGGCCGGAATCGGTCACTGGTTCATCAAGACCAATGATTCATTCTCATCCTGAAATTCAGAGGCAAGGAGCGTGACTTATGGTTGGAGGTTGGACTCAAGATCTGAGATGGAATCATCTGAGGGGAGTGGCATAACATGCACTGGCAAGGAAGAGGATTCTAGGGCCAGAACCCTCTTCTGTACATCCTGTCTTAGGTTGGACAGCTCATGTTTCCTGTCAAGCCTCATTTCAGTGAGAAAGTCACATCAACAGTTCTGCAGCCATCCCGAGGATGTTATGAAAACCTTTAATTTTGGATAAAATAGTGTCATTAGGGAAACTAGTAAAGAGATTTAATGAAGCAGCCGGACCAAAACATGCCAGAAACGGCGGTATAACTCCGGGTGGGTAGGAGAGGGTTAATTATTAGAAATGGAGAAATGTTTATGCAGCGCTGAGCTGTGTAGGAGGAGGAGAGGTGGAATTTTAAAAGCAATGGTTTCAAACGCGGCACTTTGACTCCAAAGCTTTAACCCAAAAGGATTTCTATTTTATTTGCAGACTGGCGCTGTGGTGAGCTGGCAGATAAAGGTGTTTTAATTGGATTTCATTGTTGCCTGTCAATGTTTTTTGCCTCTCGTCCTCCTAGCCCTTTTGATTTTAATGCTTCATCTGGATTTGACTGCTACCCTCCTTAATAAAGGAACTTTGACTTCATCTCTCTCTCTCTCTCTCTGTTGTCCATGTGTGACTCAACACGCTCGAATAATCGACCCAAATCCAACCTGACCTTTTGGGTTGGCTTACTCGGTTCGGATTGTATGATTGAAGAAGAGCCATCTGGAGGTCTATACAGTGACAGGAGACCTCCAGACATCTCATCTGGAGGTCTCCTGTCACTGTGTAGACCTCCCGACGAGGTGTGTTTGTGTGGCTTTATTTATTTATTCTACTGTTGATGGTGTTTGGGGCGTCACACATGAGGTAGCAGAAAAATTATACTGCCACCGTGTGGTGAAAAAGTGAACTGCACATTTAAAGTCATGATTTATTTATTCAGACTAAGAGAGCGAGCTATAAATAATACATAATTAGACTGAAGTTGCAGGCCACATGAGATCTTGCAGGCTGGACTTTGGATGCGCCTGCTCTAGATGGATGAGTTGCTGGTAAATGTTTTGAGTAAACGTGCCTTAACTGAAGCGAACAGATTCATTAAAGCCAACAGCCAGAGATGTTAGGTTTGATTATTTTATCCTACCTGCACCTGCTGTAAGCCCCTGAGTCATCACGATGGGCTTCCTGTTATCACCTCTGTGTCTTTGTATTTTTTCATCAGATGGAAAGACTGCAGGTGGAAAACGCTGCTGAGTGGGGGCGCAGGGAACGCTTGGAGACAGAGAAACTGGCCCTTGAGAGAGACAACAAAAAGTTAAGAGCCCAGGCTGAAGACCTGGAGGAGCAGTTGACTAAGAAGCGTCGGCAGGCTGCTTCTGCCTTGGACACAGACCTCAAAGCTATCCAGAGTGAGCTGTTTGAGAAAAACAAGGTGGGCAGAAAACCTGATTTGTCACAGCATCAACTCAGAAATCCTTTGGTTTTGATACATGAATACAATGAAGTCCAATAAAATCCAAGTAGAATCAATATTTGAGATGAAGAAGGTAAAAACACACAAGAATGAGATCTGAAAAAAGGTACATCTAAAAATGTCACTGGTATTTTAACGTCCTACATCATGCAAATCCATTTTTTGGAGCATTTGACCATGATTAATGGTATTTCCTCATGAAAAACACCCTCAAAGTGGTTTGTTCCTGTCTCAGCTGCTTCTTTCCATCAACTATGTCCAACTGAGCTAACCTAATGGCTGAATAGGACCAGCTTTGCATCATCATCTCCTCCCCACTCAGATAGGGTTGAAATCCCTTTTCCCCTGGACTGTAAATACTAAAACCTAGTCTCTACATGTAGGAAGCAGGGAAATTAATCTTCACATTTGTGAAAAAGTTTTTTTTAAATCTATTCTGCACTTTAAATAATGCCTAGAATCCAAAAACGACATCTTTGTGTGTGCGAAGTGTACTGTCCACTCTCTGAAGAATCTGCAGATGTGATTGGATTTTATCTTCAGAAGCTCATAAACTGAGCCAAAATGTGACCATGATTTTAGACTGCTTGTAAACCACCACCAGCACTGGAGTGGGTTTTCAGAGGAATAACTTCTTCAAACCATTATTTCAACGCTAAAACCATCCAATGGATTGGCCAGGGCGGTGAGTAAAAGCAAAATGCTAACTGCTAGCCCCTACATTAATAGGCATGTTTCAGTTTTTCAGTGTTTCAGTGTATTGGAACTCCAGGGGGGTAGCTGAGTGGGAATATGGTGTGAATCTGTGGTCTCCAGGGCCCTCATTTATCAAACTTTTATAGAAACTGTCCAATATTCTGTCCTACGAATGAAATTTAAATGTGTCGACGAACAGTAAAAATCCTGATTTATGAAACATGCTGTGACCTTTTGTACACATGTTCCTTCGCAATCGTCTGATGATAAATCCCTCCTGTGCGTACCCAGGTGCTTGTGTCTGTTCACCAGCATTTACATACAGAAATGCCCTCAATTGATCATAGTTGGTCATGCTAGGTCCATGCGAGGGAATTCCCTGGGTGTCCCCTAAAAAAACTTGATTGACAACAAGATTGAGACACTGGCTGCTGAAGTGCTAAAAAAAGTTGCAGATGTTACAAATGCGGTTGGGACAGAGGAGAGGTCTCCGTCAGGAATGAATAAAACATGTAATATGATGAATCTTAATGTAGCGGGTTGACATTTACATTCAAGCAGTTGTTCTGTTTAAAGTTAGTTTTATCTGGAAATGTTGTCTAAGAGTGCAGCCTCTTCTGAACTGTCATTCAGTCTGGTTACCGTGACAATGCATCATGATCGGGGAGCAGAGGAGGTTTTGAGGGGTTCTCGTAGTTGTGATATTAAATATGAACTGGAATCAGATTTGTGGGGTTTGTCTGTTGATCTGCAAAGGGTCCCAAATATCTCCAGAAGCTGTCCTTCAGGGAGATCAGTGCTTTCATGGAGGAAACGTTCCCTCCAGAAATCAGGCCAAGCCAAATCCTCCAATAATACTATAAGAAACTATCTTTTATATAGTGCCTCTTAAGCTGAACCATGAGGTGCTTCACAAGGACAATAACATTAATTAAAAAGATAATCAATAAGAAAATTAGCAAAGATCCTCATAAAAAATTAGAAGAGTCACGGGCGATTCTAGCATCAGAGGTTTAGGGGTGCTGAGCACCCAGAGATCTGCCTGGTCAGATAAATTTCAACATTTTCTATATTTTAACAGAATTTCATCCTCACATTCATGAAATAAAACAAAAACACTGTTTTCACTAATCAAATTACGGTTTTAAACGTCACAATCTGGTCCAGGTTTACAGAGTCTGGGTCAGTGGTTCCCAACCTTCTGTCCTGGAGGATCCCTAGGCTGTGTGGTAACCTCACCATCACAGCACAAACATGTTGTAGAAGAAGAAGAAGAAACAATCTCCTGTATAGCGCCTCTCAAGATAAAAATCACAAGGCACTTCTATGTGCTGAAATCCCACTAATGGTGGACCCCAGATTGGGAAGCACTGGTCCAGCTGTTGTGGTTTTAAAATACGAGCAGATTAAAGATGAAAGTTGAACGAGTGGAAAAACTGGTTGGAAATGCCCTTTAATATTTGGAAACTTGAATTTGAAGCCTGTTTTTCTTAGCTTTGTCTGAATTTCCACAACAGAATGACACTAAATGACCAGTGATATTTTTAGATCAGTTCTTACTTATTTTCACCTAATTTTCCACTAATGTCAACATCCCATTGAAAAAAAAATCCAAACTTTTTTTTTGATAATTTTTCTTTTTATTGTTCTTGATTTAAAAAAAACTGACAAAAACAGAATGGTGTTTTTTATCTCCTACAGCAGATTTTTAGGGGAGATGAAACAAAAATCACTGACTTTGTTCTCTGAAAAAAGTTAGATTTAAACTTAATGTTTTGACTTTTTTTCTCAGAAGTCGCAGAATAAATAATCAAGTCTTTGATTAAATGATTTCCACTGTTCCCTCATGTTGTTCTAAAGGGTTTGGCTATATACACAAGCACCGTGTCTGTGTTGTTACCGTATTATTGGGCTTCTGTAGCATACCAGCCTGTCTGGTTACTGAGGAACCTGAGCAGCTTTAACCCTTCAGTCTTTATTGTAACAGCAACTCATCTCCTATTGGTCCAGGATTACTCTTGTCATTTCCTTTTGGTTTGGAGGTTCGTGAGCGGCGCACGCTCCGGACCTGTGTCAAAGTCCCGCCCCCTAGCTTGATTGACAGACACTTTTTTTTGCTTCACAATCAGTTTATGCAAGATTCAAAGATGAAATGGGAGACAGTCAAAAATGCCAGACGGTGTCTCAATTAGCAGGACCTGAGAAAAATAATGTAAATCCAGGACTGCCCCACAGAAAGCAGAAAGCTTGGTCACCCTAACAGCAGCATATCAGCCAATCAGGAAGGCTCAGAGTCTGATAAGGTGAGCAGGATCAAACCATTTTTGAGACAGGGGTGATTTGCTGTATTATTGTTTTTAAAACATAATAGTTTGACCCATTGTATGGTTTTCAGATATTACTAATGTGTAAAATCACCGCAAACAGTAAAAATAAGTAGATCATTAAATGAATGTCAAACTTTATGGGCTAGGGATGAATTTAGGGGTGCTTCAGCACCCTTAAAGTCCATCTACATCAACCATTTATCTACATATACTGTCCATCTACACCTACCACTAGGGCTGCAACAAATGATATTTTGTATCATCGATGAATCGGATGGAGCCATGACTCTATATATCAATCAGTCGGATTGAACGGGAAAATTAAAAAAATTGCTAGGGAAACTTTTTTTTCTTTTCTTCCTTTACTTTAACAACAGAACATGATTGTGCTCTTTTAATGGAACCCACCTTTTACTTATGTTACATTGTTACATATGTAAAAATTATCTGGTTATGCAAACCGATTGTTGCTGCAGCTGTCCGGGTGGCTGATCTCAGGCAATTTTGGAGGTGAACATGCTGGATGTGAAGGTCATGGGCTGCTGTGGTCACATGTGGTCTGCGGTTGTGAGGCCGGTTGGATGTGCTGCCAAATTCTCTAGTGCCTTTGGAGACAGCTTATGGTAGAGAAATGAACGTTCATTTCATGAGCAACAGCTCTGGCAGACATTCCTGCAGTCAGCATGCCAATTGCATGCTCTCTCAACGGTTGCGACATCTGTGGCATTGTGCTGTTTGATCAACCTGCACATGTCAGGGTGTCCTTTTATTGTGGGCAGTCTAAGGCACACCTGAACATTATTCATGCTGTATATCAGTGCCTTGATATGCCACACCTGTGAGGTGGGATGGATTATCTTGGTAAAGAAAAAGTGCTCACTAACACACATGTAGACAGATATCTGAACAATATGTGAGTCATGGGTGTTTAGTGTATGTAGAGACATTTTCAGATGTTTGAGTTCAGCTAATGAAAAATGGGAGCAAAAACAAATAGTCTTTGGTTAAATTTTTGTTCAGTGTATTAATATCGATATTAACGAATGTTTAACAGATTTACTTCACATAAATCAATTTCCCTCTGGGATTAATAAAGTATTTTTGAATTGAATTGAATTGAATTAACTGGAATCAACCTCTTCTGAGTGTCTTAGGAATGTGGGATGTCTGTGGGTCTTAATTAACACCTATACAAATTTCTTAGATCCGGTTTGTTCAAGTTTATAAACAACAATTTCATTAAAAGTGAACTCACTTCACTTATTCCCCCAGTTCCTCCAGAACTCCGAGTTCAAGGCTAGCTCACAGCTCATGCTAAATGGCCATTCTATGGGAAGTCAACCTGATTTTTCTGTGGAATCATTTTAGCGGCATAAAGGACCATCCTGTTTTGAACTGACAATTGTTGTTTGCTCAATACACCACCAACTCATCAGACGGGAAACCGTCCGCCAGAAGCCACCTGGGAAGTATCTTTTGACTAGTCGTGCGTGTTCTGAGGGGCCCTATATTCATTTAATATTGTGTTAAATTACATCAAACAAACAGCCAAATGTATTCTATAAACCCAGACATCACACCTTTCTGAGTCACTTAGTGAAACTCTTACAACACACCAGGTCATGTTCCGTCAAAGTTCATTCATTATCTCGTTTTATATCACTTTGAATCGCCATTCATTATTTGGCTTTCATCACCATTAATATAGTAATAATTTATTTTTATGAACTATATTTTTGCAAACAAATTATTGTAAAGTGTTGTTTCCCTGGCATACCCAAGTAATATTAAAGGCTCAATAATGTTGATAATCCATATTTTTATGGAATATTACATTTTATTGAGTACCTTTATATTCTATTGACAATTTGTTAAAAGTCACCACTTACAAAACGTTACAGCAGCATTTTTTCTTTCCAATATCTTGATTATAAA